AACTCTTCAGTTTTGAGCATCCTCTCAGATTTAGGATACTGAGGGATTCTAAGTTGATGTTGGTTGGAAGAGTCTTCAGTTTAATGCAAGAAGACATGTCCAAGACTTTAAGCCTATTAAGATTTTGTAGAGAATTGTGACCAATTTTTTGCAGAATTTAAGATACAGATTTGTTGCTCTTGAGAGGTTTGGAATATCTTGAATGTTTGTAGATGCGCTCCAATCCATATACTTGAGACTTGTCAGTGGCTGGAAACAAACACAGTCAGAGGTACACTATAAAGAGACACTAGATTTTAGCATAAGAATCTTTGATATGATTAGCGTACCTGAATACCTTCCCAAAGCTTCTCAAGCTTGCTATCTCGCATAGTAAGTTCGACAAGAAATTCAGGACGAAACTTAGAGGGCATACATTTAATCAGATACAAATCCCAATGTAGTAATCTAAGCTTACGTGGTAGATAGTCCAAGCCATGAGGTAAGTACAACTTGACTGATGCATCTGGCAAATTCTTGTATAGCCTCAAGAATTGGAGATTAGGCATTTTCTCAAAGGCTTTTTCATTTATATACAGATCGTCGATTTCAGACATATCTAATGATATTCCTAAAACAGTTGGTGTACCCTGCAGATTGTACCAAAAGAAAGACAGTCAGTTAATATATTAGCTAAAGTGTACTTTGTGATGAATGTTTCAACACTTCTATCACAAAAAATGTTTGAGCACTTACAGTTTCGTCCGTAAGTACATCTGAAATCTCCAAAGCATCAACTAGAAATTTACGTTTCCCGGGCTCGTGAAGACACTGTCCCCGAATAATTTATTTACCCATTTGTTGTAGCAAACAATGCACTACTATATATCCATCAGCACAAACATGTATAAGAGATCTGTCAACAAGGACTTTAATGCTAGCAATTGTTTCACACGATTAACATTCTCGCCATTGAACAAGCACGCAATATGAAGAAAGAGAACCTTGTCTTTCTCATCTAACCCATCATAGCATACTCCTAATAGGTTTTCTATTTTCCCATTTAGAGTATTTTTAAGTCGCGGTAGCGTGTTTCTCCTCGCTCATTCCTCGCAAAGATGCGCTTAAGATGCTGAGGCCTAAAGGAAGATCTCCAGCAAGCTTTGCACCTTCAACATCTAGATCATAGTAGCCTTCTGGTGCCGAGTTTTGTCCAAAAGCTGATCGACATAAGATTTGGAAGGCTTCACCTTTAGATGGAAAATCCACTTCATAGACATTATTAATCGGGAAAATCGCATAAAAAACCTCCAAAGTTTTTGACTAACACTTTAAACATTCAACTTGACATTACTAACACAATAAATCCCCAAAGTGAAAAGTGGCATTGTTTCTAAGTTCTCTAAGAAGAAAAATAAATCAATTTTC